TATGAAAAAAAAAAGATTAATTACCATTTAAAAAAAGTTCTACTAAATCATTTAAAAAATTAAGGAAAGAATATTTATAAAATTTGAATAAATAAAAATAATGAAAAGTAAAAACAAAAAAAAAATTAACCCATTTGTTTGGCCAAATATTAAAAAATCTTACATTCATATGCATTTTTTAATATAGTTTTTGAAATCATCCTTTGTAGCCTCCTTAATGGAGACAAGTTATTTACTTTAATAAATGATTTGTCATCCGTTGGATTTTGTCTGGTCACTTCTAATAGCTAAAAAATAGATATTCAAGTTTTCAAATCCTAAAAATTTATTTTTTAAAGGTTTTTTTAACCTCAAAAAACTCCAGGAATTTTAATTAACTGATTTCCAATCCCAAAACACCATTTAATCATTATAAAAAACAAATTAAACTAATAAAAAAAAATATGGTCATTAATGTACTTTTTCCAACATAGTTAAAGGACAATACAACCTTAACTGAATTCCTATAAGAAAGAAGAACTCATTAACACTAAAATTGATTTTTTTATTTGCTAAAATGTGGCAATTCAAATATTTTTTCTTTTTAATATTTTTTGATGACTCTTTCTCATCACTCAATATCCAAGGACTAAAATATGAAAAATAAAGTTTGGGAATTAAGTATAAAATGTTAAAATAAATAAAGTTGGATAACTAAAATTAAAAATGAAAAACAAAATATTTGTTCAAACGAAACAGTGCACCCAAGTTTAGGTGAATAGTAATTTTAGTTTATCTTATTAGGTTATTTGTACTTTACTGTAGGTTGGATTAAAAAAAGTTTTTTGAATATAAAAATAAAAGAGAGAATACTAATATTGCTAATGTATTTTTTATTTCTAAGTAAAATTTTAATAATTACTTTTAAAATCTAGTTAGCTGACCGCACTTTGTTGTGGGTAAAATGAAAAGTTCTTTTAATGCAAAAAATGAATGTGTAAGTGTCTCCAAAGTGTTTTTGATGTCAAGAAAAAATCTTTATTGCAAATCAAAAATTTAATCCATATATTTAATTAAATAAATTAAAAATTATATATGTCAAGAAATTTTTTTAAAAAAAAGCTAACACTAACTAAAAACTAAAATAGAAAATTGAGAGAGAAATATAAATTAAAATATTTGATCTTGTAATATGAGTTATGACTCAATTGGGTTTAATACCTTTGTTTATAGTAATTAATTCTTTATTAATTAAATGATAATAAAATTAAATACACACATTGAAGTTATTGAAAAAAATTAAAGGAAACAAGATATTATGTAGGGTTGTACAAAAAGAACAAATGCTAATATTACAAAAAAAAATGTTATAATTTTATTTGAAACCAAAAAAAAATGTTATAATTTTATTTGAAACCAAATAAAAATTATATGCTACTCTATTAAAAATGTCACAATTTTCTAATTAATTTATTTTAAGTGATTTTAATTAAAATTAAATACTTGCTAAGTTGTGCACCCTACATTTTTAACTAATCTTAATTTAAATTTAAAAAATAAGGTTAAAAAAAACCCGAATGTTTATGACTAAGTAAACCAGCATGTCTGATTTAGTAAAAAAAAAAATCTAAGTATGCACGAGCTTTTTACATAGACTTTTCTATTGTTTTTTTAACCTAAAAAAGAAATGCATGACATATCATTTACCCTTATTTTTTTCCTTAAAGGTTAAGCTACATAACATTTCATTGGTTTATCTAGAATTTGCCTCTAAAGTACACAGCATGTTATTGGTTTATCTAAAATCTATCTTTAAGGTGCATAACACATCATTGATTTGTCTAGAATCTACCCATCAAAATAATGATTAGAAAATTAGAGGAATTTTTTATCTTAAAAATAATTTTTTAAACTCATTTTCACCTAAAAACAAGTAATAAACACCCTTAGAATAAAACAAAAAAAACTAATTTATCAACAAAAAATACAAAATCAAACTTAATTTTTTTTCTCAATTCTGATTTATTTTTTCAAGTAAAATAAAAATTTTAAAAAAACTCAATGAGACATCTCTTGTCAAACAAAACTTATTAACTAAGATCATTTTTTCTTCTCTTTTTTTTGTCACTAAATTTAACAAAACCGGCAACTTTCTCTTATCTTTACTGGCCAAAATAAAGATGAAGACACCACTTTAGTGGTTACTTCAAGTTTTGGAAGAAAAAGCCAGAATGTACCAGCTAGTATCCATAAAATAAAATAAAAAATATGAAAATTTATGAGAAGAGACTGATCAAAGAAAAACCGAGATGCAAGTTTCTATATATAAATCTGTGTCATCAAGTCTAATTCACTCTAGCCCCTTAATAATTAATCTATGAAGCCGTATTCTCAAGAAATTGACAGTAACCTTACTCTTCTTGATTGACGGAAAAGTATGAATAACTAATTAAAGCCTTTCTGATGAGGATTGATCACTGGCTATTGTAAGAAGCTACTGTTCCTTCGATAGAAAGACAAATGAGAATCGTGCATGCATTCCCATCATTTGAAGGCACAAGTGGTCCGAAAGTGAACAGAAACTGGCCAGTTTCTTACACTCTTTTCCTACTTCCTCCTCGCTTTACATAGAAACTGACAAGGCTTGCATGGACTTTTACTATGTATTAGCCATAGATTAATCAAACTGATCAGATATGAAAAGGAAACCACTATAGTTAGGCTAGAAAGGACGTTCCCAACTGTCCATTTTCTACGAAATTAAAATCCCTAGCATGACTCGTTCCTTAACGTTTCCCTCTTAGCAAATGATGTGGTAACCCTATACGAGAAAAACAAAGAGCATAGCACATTTTATCAAATAATCTCTTGCTGGTGTGGATTTCTACTTTTGGGACCACTATCCACTAATCAACACGCAAGATATAGGTGTCAAAAGCTTTGTTGACAAAACATGACCCACTGGCCATTACTGTATTTCTCTTTCTTTTCATACCTATTTTTTGCTATCCTCGTCAGTCAGTCCTTAGAAATGCAAACCCATCAAAGAAGAGACTTGCATCAAGTCCTTAGAAACACATCAGCGCTTTACCATTAGTCTGGAGAACAAAAAACCATGATTGTACCTCAAACAATGATCGAGATGTGGGCAACAATGGGTTCAACCATTGCCAGTTTCATGTTCATTTGGGCTATTATTCACCAATACTGCCCCTACGAGGTTCGTCTCTACTTTGGCAAGTATACACAAAGAATCATGAGCTTTTTCTATCCTTACATTAAGATATCAATCCACGAGTACGCTGGAGATCGCCTCAAGAGAAGCGAAGCCTATGCTGCTGTTGAGGCATATCTTAGCATCAACTCATCCAAGTGTGCTAAGAGACTTAAGGCGGAGATGGCAAAGGATTGCAGCAACTTGGTGCTTAGTATGGATGAGTATGAGAGAGTGAAGGACGAATTTCAGGGTATCCAAGTTTGGTGGGTTTCAAGCAAAGTGATGCCACCATTACAATCCATGTATCCTCAGCAAGAGAGAAGGTATTATAGGCTCACGTTTCATAAGCGCTACAGGGGGGTCATAAGTGAGGTTTACTTGAAGCATGTAATACAGCAAGGGAAAGAAATTAGGGTGAGAAATAGACAGAGGAAGCTGTACACAAATGGGTCTGGAAACAAGTGGCATATCTACAAGCAGACCATGTGGAACCATATAGTGTTCGAGCATCCTGCCACATTTGAGACGTTAGCCATGGAGCATGCAAAGAAGCAGGAGATTATAGAAGATCTGGTGACTTTCAGCAAAAGCAAGGATTTCTATGCCAGAATTGGAAAGGCGTGGAAACGAGGGTATCTTCTTTACGGTCCACCAGGGACCGGAAAGTCTACCATGATTGCTGCAATGGCCAACTTGTTAAACTATGATGTTTATGATCTCGAGCTCACTGCTGTGAAAGACAATACCGAGCTAAGGAAGCTTTTGATTGAGACCACTAGTAAATCTATCATAGTGATAGAAGACATAGATTGCTCGCTTGAGCTGACTGGTCAAAGGGATAAGAAAGAGGAGAAATCTCCAGATGAGGACAAGGAGAAGTCAGAGAAAGAAACTCGCAAAGAACATCACAAAGAAGAGACTGGCAGCAAAGTGACACTTTCGGGGTTGTTGAATTTCATTGATGGGATATGGTCTGCTAGTGGAGGGGAGAGGCTTATTGTGTTTACTACTAATTATGTGGAGAAGCTTGATCCTGCTCTGATAAGAAGGGGAAGAATGGACAAGCATATTGAGCTCTCTTACTGCAGTTTTGAGGCATTCAAAGTGCTTTCAAGGAATTACCTGAGACTTGATGCACATCCTTTGTTCGATAAAATTGAAAGCTTAATGAAGGAGACCAAGATCACACCAGCAGATGTCGCAGAGAGCCTCATGCCCAAGTCCCCATTGGATGATGCAGAGAAGTGTCTCTCACATTTAATTCAAGCTCTTGAGGAAGCAAAGGAAGCAGAAGAAGTTACAGAGAAGGCTGACAAAGACGCATCCAAACAAAACGCTCAAACAGCTACTAAGGCAGCAGAGGGCCGTGCCAAGGAAGACGCTGCCCAACCACAAGAAAATAGTCACTGAAAAGCCAAATTATGAATTAGCAGTGCCACTGAGTTGTATTAAATCCCATTTAAGTTTTCCGGTCCAAGGTTGCAGAGGTTATAGTGAAGCAGAAAATTCAAAAATCTGCACCTACAAGTCCGTTAGGGTCTAGAAAACAAACTCTATTCATGCAGTTGCATCATTGAAGAATTACAAACATTATGATTTAAAGTAATTGAGTCAAGACTTCTGTGCGACACGCCTGGCATAAAATTTTGAGCATTACAATCACAAAATGGCTATAATTACGAAGTAGGAAAAATGTTAAATTGGCAAAAGAAACATTAGTTACCTTTTAAGCGAGGATGATTCATCACATACAGCCAACAGTCCCCTGACCTGATCATTTTATCAAAGCCATGATCGTGAACGATTAAACTACAAAGCCTGAATATCTAAAAGCCATTTTTTTCAGTTACAAAATCAGTTAAGGTTATTGTACATTAATTGGATAAGATGTAGAACTCCCAAGGAATTCTCATTGACCCATTGTAGGCTTCTATGAATGTAGACATGCTAAAAAATGACTATCTAATCTACGGAACTCTCAGCATCAAGTTGCTCCTTGCTGCAAATCCTAAATGAATTGCATCAAGGTTGTTGCTTCGCTTAGGCCATGGAAGAACTCCGATGGTAATTTCCTCCATGGACTTATCACAAAATTTATAACATTATACTATTGTACATTAAGCTCCCAGAGAAAACAACGAATCTTCTTTTGCCACAAGAGAGGGAACCTCAAAAATCATTTCTATCTTCATCTTTCATTACTGTGTTCAGACCATCATCAAAACCAGAACCTGGAGCTAGTTCGTTGAGATCGAGGAAACGTCTTTTCCTTACACCATCAACTTCATCTGGGACTGGGCTATTTGATTGCTCAGGTGGCTGATTTTGCTCTTTTTGTTCTGTCACTTTGTCACCTTCTACAGGCTGATCAATTTTCATATCTTGTTTGTCATCATTGCCATCAGAATCTTGACTTTGACTTCCAGCTGAATACTCTGCATTCTCACTTGCATCTGAGTGTTCATCTGATACATTTGATTTCTCACGTTTCATTGACTCTGTTTCTGACTCGGACAGCTCATATTGTCGGTAATTAATCTGGTTCCGAGTGCTCCTTCTGCTGCGTCTTAGACCTGACTGGATTTCATCAACTGACCGTAATTTTTTCTCCCTGCGTGTACGGCCTGGAAATTTATTGAATTTTTGGGGCTCCTCACTATCCTCACTAATACTTAAGGAATCCTCTTCTTCATCTTCTTCTTCCTCCTCAACATTTTCATCATCCCATTGATACTCTTCATCCCCTTCAGAGCTGCTGGACAGCCTCTTCTGCTTACGTTTCCTCAAGTATTCATCATCATAGACAGCTTCTCCAACTATATCATCATCACTGTCAAAGCCTGCCTCATTATCTGAAACTGCCTCAACAAACTCTGTTGCTGAATACCGCTGAGGTCTCTGTCTTCTCCTGTTGCTGCCAGCCATTACGCAGTGATAAGTTATGTGCAAGATCAAGGAAACATGATTAGTTTTGAAAGACAGGCTTATCTTACCCCCGATCCAACATTTCAGATTTACGGTCTTCATCCATGTCATCATATTCAAGAGAATCGGGAGATGCGGCACTGAAAGTGCCATGTTGCGATGTGTGTGAAGGACCGCTCAATTCACCATTTGTAGAAGCTTCAGGTTTAGCGAAACCTTCTCTTCTGAGAAAAGGTTCTGGAGACGGTGGTTTACGCCTAAGAAAGAGAGTAAAGAAAGTGAACAACTTGATATTCCATGGTAGAGAGATAAAAACAAATTCCTCCTAGCATAGGAAGAAAAAAACTGTATGAAGAATGAACATGATCAAGAACTTACTTTGTTATTTTGATAGCCTCGTTGATTGACCGATCATAATCATCTGCAAAAATAGTTGATGCAGCAATCAGATTGCCTATTTTTGTATGAGAACAATTATTACTGTAATAAAAACACATTCTCATTACTAAGAAAAGCTCATCAACACAACTGTCTCAAAGCTCAGCAAAACTGAGGTAATATATGCAAGTTTTATTCTAAGATTTCAAGAAAAACAACATATGAGGGATTAAGCTGAAGCAAATAGTTCCCAGTTAACTGTCCAACGATAATATTAGTTCTCTCTTCAACATACCCCAAGTTCCAAAAACAAAACTCCTGGAATGGTATACATAAAGGACTAGGCATTATAGGCAACATCTACTTTGAGAGAAGTAACAGCAGGAAAAATTCATCAGTCAAGAGTAATCAATCTCGACAACCTGCTAAAGCTCTTACTACTGCACAATCAGAAGTTTTCTTTGCTTACCAAAAGTATAAGTGACAGGCTTCCTATCACGGAGAGAACGTCCTGGTGCATGTCCATCCATGCTCAAGAAATTATCAAGAAGTAGAGCCTGCCTGTGTTGCTTTTTCAGCAGCCTTTCTTTCCTCTAAGCAAACACAAGTTTAAAAGGAAATCTGAATGTGATTTCTTTCTAGGATAACATAAACTTAAAGAGGATTTCAATCAAGAATAATTTGATGCAAGAAAGAAATTATTGGTTAATGAAATCCAATTAAGTAAACCATGTTACTCACTAAGCAATTTCCAGTACCTTGTAAACCTTCTCAATCTCAGGAAGCATGTCATTCTTTAATTTCTTCCCCAACGAAGCCTCTGTTCTATTTTTGCTAGTACAGAGCTTCTCCTGCAGCATTTTAAGGACACGGATGAATATACCCCACAAAAGTATTTAGCAAATGGCCATACAGAGGCATTTGGAAACCACCAAGTTGACCAAAAGTATTTTCCACAGTTGGAATACCACTGGCACTATAAGTGTATAGAATTGTCAACCATTTGCACTATCAACACAGCACTCCCGAGATCAGTAGAGAAAAGTTTGATTCAGTGTATCATACCAAATTATTTTTTTAATTTTCCTTTCAAGGTTTTTAAACCTATCAAAGGAACTGTCAGCAATGATAGCTGACCATACAATTGTAGAAGAAAAGGCAAGCCCTTACACAAAATTGAATTACAAATAAAATTGCTATGATTGAAACCATAAATGGAATGTGCGGCACAAGAATGGTATGAAATATAAATCCACCAAATGAGAGATCCAAAAAATATGGAACTTGAGATGGCCAAGGCTCGTAGAGAATAGCATTCACAACATCACCACAACTGGGCATTTCTCATGACCTCTTGACTGGATATGTTTTTTACATTTGAATGAGACAGGAAGTCTCACAATAGACTACCTGTCACTAAAAGGATCCATTACTAAGATGATTCTTCTGATGCACGCTTCAAACATCTAATAGACTACCTGCAACCTAAAGTACATCTCATGCCCATCCACTTTCACCTAACATATGTCAATAGGCAAATGTAAGCATACACTTTTAAGTAAAATCTTGGAATATATAATCTCACCATCGAGATAGAAATTGATTGGTAACTCCACTTTCATTTAAATAGCCAAATTTAATAGAAGAAGCTGAGAGGGCACCATAATATCTAAGTTATCATCACAAGGCTGAAAATCATACAACCTGGCATTCCTGGTGCACAGCATCATTGGATAACTATCTTTCATTCTTTATATTAGTAATCCTCTATTAGATTAATATCTCACAATCTTAACATCCATAATTTAGTTTCATCAGAATTTCCAATAATGCATACCGCCCACTGTGATCAAGGCACATCACACATTCAAAAAGATAAGGAAGGAATGCAATATGAATTTGAATTCACCATGAATGCTGGGTAAGAATAAAAAGGGGGGAAATTGAAATAAAAACCATGACAACCTTGCATCAAAATTTGAACAAAGCACATACACAAAATCATGCAATTAGGGTAACTTACAGAAACATCTTGAAATTCTTCGAAATTAGTTGCAACTGTCTCCCACAGGTATGTCACGTTAGGGATGATCTGAGATCCCTTTGCCTTTGCTTTAAGCTTCACCTCGGTTTTTCTTATTTCCCGGTATAACCTTTGACCAATCATTGGATCATCTTCATACCTGCATCAACAATAAAGCTGTAATTATAGAATTTACACTACACAAAGGACAAAAAACTACAAAATAAGAGAGGAGAAAAAAGATTGAGATAAAATCTCAACTTATCACATAAAAATATACCGCTGATCATTTCAATCACTGTCAAACCTAACAAGCAAACACATTGAATGCTTCATGAGAAGCTTATTATTTCCATTACCAGTAATTAATTCCTTGTGAATCACCCCCAAAACGTTCCTTGCGAAATAATGAAAGTTGAATGCCATGCTTGAGGGAGTTATCAATGTAATTCCGAATATCTTCTTGCTGCAAAAGATTGCTCAGATTCAATTCCTTTACAGTAGAAAGAAGTTCAAAGCAACCAAGATGTTAAAATGTTCAAAGAATAAATAAAGAAACAAAATATGATCCCAAGAAAAGGACAAATGAGAAACCCCAACATCAATTAATTTCTAGCAAAATATCCCAACAAAAAGCCTTTAAATGCAAGATTCTATAGCCAGCTCACAAACTAATTCAGTTTGATGTAAGGAGAAAAATTATGGAAACCTTCAAATGCAAGATTCTATTCGATAAATGGGTGATTGATGGAAGGTTTGGCAATAAGAGAATACTTCTATCTGGAGATGATTAACATGATTAGAAACAAGCACAAGCTGCTTCTAGAATTATGTGTAGAATACATAATAAAGAAATGCATGTAAATTATCCTGTGAGATACATTAGAGAGGAATCTTGTTCTGTGATTACAAGGCTGCCAAAGCTTGGTGATGAAAAAGTATAGGTCAATGAAAAGTAGCATATAGAATAGTGAAGTACATGCAAATAGGAAACAATGATATTGACACTGATGAAAAGAACACATGGCAAAATTTCTACTACAATGTTTCACTCTACAGCAAAATGAGGGGCTCAGTTATGCACGAGACAAATAAACACAAGAATTGAGAACTTTTTTATTCAAGCTGAAGGGGCAGCAAGACAAAACAAATGCCAAAAGAACTGGTTAACATTGTGCCAAAAGCACTTCTCAAAAACCTTCATTTATCTGTCCCAACAAAGAATACAGAGCAGTAAGTCTACCATTGCGTTTCACTCTACAGAAAAATGAGGGCCTCAGTTATGCACAAGACAAATAAACACAAGAATTGGGACCTTTTTTATTCAAGCTGAAAGGGCAGCAAGAACAAAACAAATGCCAAAAGAACTGGTGGTCTTAATTGTGCAGAAACAAAGGAAAAAGTTCTTAGAATGCATCAAAGTCTCCAAAACTTTCATTTATCTGTCCCAACAAACAGCCATCAAGGTATTATGCTCTGTTTTCCATCCAATCCAACTAATCACAACATGAATTTAAAGCTACAATCGACACGTACTGCTGATTTGAAGACTAAAATGAGATCCAACAGGCATTTGAGTGAACAAAAATCCAACATCATTATAGCCCAAAGCAATTATTTCAAATCAAGAATCATTATATATAATCTTTGCTGCCAGTGGCATTACCTCAACACGAATGTCACATAGTGCTTTCAGTATCACCACACGGATCCCAGGATCAAGTGTTTTATACACTTCAACCTCTACCCTACAATATCAAAGTCAAAATACAAATCAGAATCATAAAAAAAAAAAGGTGATCTAAGAGCATCTAGGAATGAAAAACTAACCCATGTGAAGCAACTAAGGGAAGTTCCCCATCTGCAACCTACGACAAGAGACCAAACTCATCTTAAAAATGATGTTCACAATAGCCCCCTCTTCCTTAATTCAATATCATAAATATCAACTAAAAAACAGTACAGTTAGTTACCCAGTGCCACCAGTCTCTTAATTTTCTGCACAAAACAGTAATCCAGGTATCTCGTGTGAGAGCCATTCTGGTAATAGGAGGGATTGCCTAAAAAGAAACAAATCAAAAGAAATGAATAATCAATGTTGCAATAGCTCACATCAACACAATATGAGCTCACTTTCCATCAGGGAGAGGATAAATAGGATCATGTTGCACTTAACTTAAATACAGCACAAAAACAGAATTTGATTTCAGTAGCAGTTAGCTTTTCCAAGCATAATCTATCAAATTAGTCAAACCACGCCTAATGAAAAGTTTCCATTGTCAAATAAGATGACTATACAAAATATCACAGATAGTGTTCTGCCAATACATAATCAGATTTTCCCATTTAAGGTGAAATTTAGAGCATTTAATGGAGGTTGATATCCCATCAATCTGGTTTTTGGGATAACATATTCTAGGAATTACCTTACAGGGGAAACATGCCATTATTGAGGGAAAAGCATGTTATAAAGATAGTATCATTTAGAAAATAGTAGACATACAACATAAAACAGAGAAAAGAAAAGGATGCTGAGGAATATGGAACACATTGCTTTGGCACCCTATCTTCAGCAAATATCAATTAGTTCAAGTAAGTGATTGTACAATGCAAAATAGCAACATGTGAACTGCAGCACTTCCCAACTAAAAGTTAAATATAGATTAATCTTTGCTTTAATTCTAGGATTTAAAACCTCTTTCTTGAAATTCTCAAGCGCAAATTCATACTGAAGAAACCCTAATGAATTGTGTAGCCAATCAGAAATCCATCCTGAAGTCACAGATGAAGATAACTTTGAAAGGAATCAAAAAATTCTCACAAATTACACATATCACACTATAGGATAGAACTTATGTCAGTACTCTCCCATTAGAAAAAGATCATCTTAATATAGTGCTCAAAACTGCATGGGTGATGGAATTATTTATGCTGCATTTTACTCGGGGGAAAAAATGGGAGAACACATTAGCTTAAAGAAATACACTAGAAGCATATGCATTATGCAACCAATAAGCTACAGCATACTTCAGAATCATGCAAAGCAATTATGCACTAGTGAGAATCAAGCAACCTCCAAATAAATGATTTAATCAAAATAAGTGATGATATCAGCATTGGAACTCCAGAAACTTGTGACATCATATCAAATCAGGGCAGAAAAATTGATAACACTGTTCTAGTTTATAAGAAGTTCCTGCGTGAAAAAACATAGGTCACCAGTGCCATTCCCTGTCCAAAATAATGATCCAAGTCATCTTGCACCTTTTTATGATGCAAAAACTCCATATTTGCTTCTATAAATTATGATAGCTAATCACTTTTTTCCTCTCTCTGTTGAAGAAGTATTTGGCAGACATAAAAGAAAGCATAATAACCACTACGAGAATAATTTATCCTCCTGTGGGGATAACCAAAAAACAATAACTACTCAGGCTTATCACTTTACCAAAAAACAATAACTACTCAGGCTTATCACTTTACTATAAAACTTGAGAAAACCCTAATCTGATTTTATGTTAGGCCACAAAGACTAGCCATTTATCCAGCACACATTTAGGAGTGTTTCCATGGTTTACACCTGTATATCATGTTCTGTGACTTTCTGGAGGCAACTAATTTGAAGCTATAGCAAATTTCTCAACGTCTAGGACAAATCTTTCAAAATGTCAGATTTGAAGAGCCCAGTACAAAACATCCACGGATTAGAGATGTCAAGGAACTCCACTGACATCTCTGGTGACCAGTGATACAGAAATTCCTACATGTAATTGTTTCAGATCAGCCTATACCAGTCTTGAACATGTGAGACATACGGTACCACGTAGTCCCTAACAAGTAGAAGCATTTGATAAACATCGTGCATCTAACAATGTACTTTAAAGGTAAAGTTCCATAACTGAAAAAACAAGAAGGCAGCATTTGATACTCCAATTGACACATTAAGAAATAATTTATTATTTGAGGTATTTAATTCCTCAGAAAAATGCTATCGTACATCTATTTCAACCTTCTCTCAACTTCAGAAGCTATTAGACAAGCAACATGACATGAAATTTTCATGCCACATAAATGGTCTCCTGAATACAATCAGCCACAACTAGCTCCCTAATTGTTAATGCAACAATCAACTCTCGCAGCACTAGAAAATAAAAATAAAAATAAAAAACACAAATAATTTGATGCTGCTAACATTGGATCCTCAGCTAATTCTCCACACACATAAAATAGGCATAATATACTAATTTCCCGCTTAATGTCAGCTAATTTACTTCATTTATACACAAAGTGAAAACCTTTGCTATAACTTAAGCTTCTAAGCATGCACAAAAAGCGATATCTAGAACTTGGTTGCTTCCATCCAAACCAACCATAAGATGTTAAATTAAGGGCATAAACCTTGAAGCTGAAAAACAGAAAGCACTAACCTTTAACAAAGGCATATGTATATCCCCCAAAGTATCATTAGGTGTGATCAAAGCTGTCTCAAACTCCTCAGCTGAAAACTCAACTGTTATATTCAATAGATGCCTAAATACCTGCAACATTAAATTTAGGAAATGAATAAAGATGAAGTCTCAAAGAAATGGAGTATAACAAGAAACAAAACAACTCACATTTAAAAAATTGAGTACTGAAGCTAATTCCCACATGGACCGGAGGCTCCACCTCGGCAACTGTGCCGGCTCCGGAGGCGCCACTAGCTGCGTAACGATCCTGCTACTTCCACCACTGCATTGCTCTTTCTGCTGCACCGAAGACTCATCTAAGTGCTGTTGCTGCTCCTGCTTCTTCGGTTTCTGCTTCCGCTCGATTACCGCCAGCTGCTGCTGCTGCAGCCTCGCCGCCGCCCGTATTGTACAAGCTCGCGACGGGCGGTTGCTCCTGTTAACTGGCGGCGTTTGGGTTCGAGCGTCGGCCTGGTTTAGAGGAGCGTCGGCCTCGTTTAGGGAGATCGGAGAAGGAGAGGGTTGTTCACTAGACATGGTTAAGGAGAGGGAGATCGAGAGGGTTTATGTTAGTTAACGTAGGATTACATGTAAACGATCCTCAATTTTTTGCAAAGAGAGAGAGAAGAGAGGGAGGGAGGGAGGGAGAACCTAAGGGTACTAACCATCATCCAATACTTAAAATTAAAATTACTGTTATTACCATGTCTGTGTGTTTTACTGTTTATAATAATAATTTATTATGAGAGTTGAAAGAACGATGCTAAGGTGATTAAGGATGGAAAGACGGGGAGAGGGAACAAGACACTGGCCTAGGAATTTTGGGTTATTTATTACTATTTAACCCAGGGGTCATTTTGGGTTAAAAGCCCTCCTTCTGCTTAGGGTTTTTTTACTGCATTGAATCTGGGTTAATTAGTTAAACGAACGTTGATTAGTTTTTTTTTTTTTTTTACCATACCCTTTCCTGGTCATTCTTTCTATCTTCTCTGGGAGTCTTCGAATCTGTCTAGGTCTTGGTCTTTCCTCGCTCGCTAGGGTTTAGCTACCTGCGACTAGCGAGCTTTTTCGTAGGGCTTTTATTGGATTTCTCAGATTGTTTTTTTTTTTTAATTGATTTTGGATTGGTTTACAAATATTCAAAATTATTTGGTTATTTTGGTTGGTAATCACAGAATCAGGAAGGGTTTTCCTGTCTTCGTATCTAGTCAAGTAAGGTCAGGTGAGAGAAAAGCACTTCTGTTTATTTTTACATTTTTAAATGGTTTTAAAAAAATTTATTTTTTATTTTTTATTTAAATTAATATTTTTAGATAATTTTTTATATGTTAACGTAAAAAATAATTTTAAAAAATTAAAGAATATTTTAAAAAATAATAACAATAATACTTCCCATTCTGAATATCCAATCTAAAGTCAAGTTATCATAACATTTTTAAGAAAAATTAATCCTCTAAGTTTCTTGTTGTACCTCACAAAATCACATCTCTAATATATTAGGGCATGGAAGGTCGCATAACCAATGGCCTTTTCTTTGAGTAACATTAAAAATTAGTAACATCAAATACGATATAAAAATATAGAATTATGACATTAAACCTCAATACTATTTTATCTAATTAATATCTCATTAGTGATTAGTGTAGTTAATCTGCCTTTTATCAACAGCTGATTTTATTTGTTTTTCATAAATAAAACATGTTTTGGTATCACAAATACATTTTATTTTAATTAGATAATAAGATAACCTACTAGATTAAATAGTATAATTTTATTTTAATTAGATAATAATAAAAAAAACAACATCAAATGGAGCAAATAGAAAAAGAGTGATCATGATAATCTAGAAAAAAAATATCTTTTCCATAAAAAAAAAAAAAACAATGCAGCTAAATTCTTATATAATTAAATACCCGGTAAGAAAACAAAAAAAAATCAGCATAAATCAACTCAAGATGGTATGATAAATCTATAAGTCAGTTAATAAGGGTTGAACGAACTCGATTTAACCCTACCAAACTCGTGGTATAGGTTATGAAATCGGTATAATCCAATAAAAAAAATACAAAGCTCGTATCTTAAAAAAATATATCAAATGATAAAATTAAAAAATAAGATAAGCAACAAAAAAAAATATCAACATGTATTAATTTTTTAAACTCTTAACTAATCAATTCAATATTAAATAATAGAACCAAAAAAAATAATTACATCTGAAAAATTTGTTAAAGTAAAACAAATAGCAAAAAAAAAATAAGTACTAAATTTAACATAAAATAAAGTTAAATTAAAAATTAAGGAATGAGATTGAAAAACAAATTTAATTCAAAAAATAATTAAAAGCAAAATAAATAGTAATCAAAAGAATAAAAATCAAATCTAATGGATGAAAAAAATCAAAGAATAGTGAAATTAAAAAAAAATCTAATTTTATAAACCATTTCAAATAAAAAAATATTAATTAAAAAAAAGGGATGAAATCTCAAGGGACAAAAAAAAGTGAAGGGTTAGTTTGAAATTCTAAAATGCCATGCACGGAAACCTAGAAATAAATTAATGCATACCACTATGTTTTTACTAAGAAAATTATTGACAAACTAGGAATTTCATTGCACTTGTAACTAATATATCATCGATTGTGTGTACTATTTATATTTTTATCGATTGAATCACAAGTGAACCTCTTCTAGAGGGTTTTTTAAAAATTTTGGTGTGAGATAAAAATTTTAAGGTGAATTTATCGAAGGAATCAGCAACATAATAATTAAAAATAATAATATTTAATATTTCATTAGTGATCCTTCAAAACATAGTATAAAATTCAACAATAACATCAAAACTTCATTTTTCTCTCATTCTCGTAAACTCTCATTTTCAATTCTCACTGTCACTCCCTCAATCCTCTCCCTTTTCTCAAGTCTTGAAGTAGAATTTAAGATTTTTTCTCTCAACATGGTTACCAGGTGTATATGGTAAATTTTTTGACATATTTTATTTTATTTTATTTTTTCTAGTTTATTAACTATGTATTTCTATCTTCTTTTTTTTTTTTGTATCACAAGTAGATAAACTATGAAAGTAAACATGTCATTAAGGTAAACATTTTTCATTTCTAAAGCTTTTTTTTTATATTATTATTTTTTGTTTATTTTATTGTCTACATTGCAATAATGTTTTATTGTGTTTGTTGAATTTTAATTATTATTGTTAAATTTGTAGTATAAATGTTAATTGAATATAAATAATTATTATTTTTTGACTGATTTTATTATTTACATTGCAATAATGTTTTATTGTTTTGTTGAATTTTAATTGTTATTGTGTCAAATCTATAATACAAATGTTAATTGAATATATAAGATTAAATTTAATTACAAAAATTCTTGTCAATTTAGGATTAAAAACATTATCATTTTGAAAATGAGATGAAATTGAATAATCCACAATTGTTGGTAGAAATAAAATAAAATCACTGGTTTGTGGCATATATTTTGTATATTTATAGGATTGAAAAGTCTAGGTAGTTTCCAGTGTAGGGGAAGTATTGCTAAATTTTTTTAAAAAAAATCAAAATTGATCATGCAGATATTCATCAAATATATGTAGATGCATAGAGAAAAATCAACTGCACATCATGAGCACATGATCGCTGCTAATTTTTCTAGCAGTGATGATGACAACATGTCATTAGGTGTCGACCAAAAAAAGACACCTGCGTTGACTCATAACGCTGCCTCTTTGAGTGCGATTTCATAATGTAGAGGCGGTGTTCTTTCACAGTGGAATCCATTTCACCTGCAAATACGAGGTGCATTGGAAGGATAACCTTTCAATGTAAATTTGTTTTGCTTTAAATTGATTTGTGATTAACAATTAATTAACAACTAATATTTCATTAATTTTATTGATTTTTAGGTTCACAAACATTAAGGTCGCCTGAGTAATGCCACCGGTGTTTAAATTATCGATGAAAATTTTATTGTTTTAATGGAATCAGATTTTCAAATATCCTGATTCGAAACCTAATATCGGTACATGGTTTACTAGATTTAATGTTAGTGTTAACTTAAATTTTTAACTATTTTTTATGTTAATTCCTTTACTTTAATAAAATTATTGATTTATTTTTTATAAAATTTTAATGCAAAGCTAAATTCCAGTGGTATAAAGAAAATGATAATGTTACAATGAGGGTTTGGGACAATCATGTTGCAACGAGGTAACATCGAAAACAATACGATAATTTTTTTCTTTTATATATTAAAATTTCATTTGTCATTAACTCGTATAAAATATGTTTGTATCATGTAAGTTGCATGATTTTTTGTATGGGACAAAAAAAAATCTAAAAACCATGTTAAAGAAAACACTCTATCAGACTGGAATGACATGATAGTTTTGAAGGATTTCAACTGTAATACATCTTGGATAATATATGGGCAGAATATATTCAACATGTGATGTCTAAGTGTTTTATGGTTTGATTATTACGTATAGCAGTGGCTCTATCCTGTTCATTTCGCATGCGAAGTGGATGATAATATTAATGTTAATCACATCTATCTTTAATTAATTTGTTATTATTATAAATATATTTAACTTGCAATATTTTTTTCTTATAGACGACTCTTGAACGTGAGCCAAGCTCAATGAAGCTTTTTGTGGAAACGTAATACGAAGTAAAGACCACCAAAAAGGGGTGCAACAATTTGTTGACAACTATGCTCAATACTTTATGGTATATTCATCTAACTATTTTCTTTTATAAGTTATTATTTTCTTGAATTGAATTTTAAGATACATATAACAGCCAGTTGAGGGAAAGATACGAGAACGATCATTCGACCCACCTGGATTTCAATCTAGATTTATGGATAGAGACAAGATCGTCTGGTGGACCGATAGAAATCGGGTGTACTAACTTTCCAACACTATGCCTAAAATCTTGCAAACAACCCGTAGTATCTCAATCATTGGGAAAATGGATATCAAACACCCAGTCTTAGGAGTTTGCGGCCTTGCAACAATATACGATCTATCTCACCGAAAAATATGAATGAGTCTATGTGGATTGTGAAGAACTCTATTGAATGATCATATATATGAGATTACAAATGGGTGGTACGTGTATGCCTCTTTTCAGTTATATGATCTCAGGAATGATCAACGTTCACCTCCTCCTCCCCCTCCTCCTTTAGCACTGCTATTATTTGAGTTTAATTTTATTTGAACATATAAATTTATAATGAAATTTGGCTGTTAAGAAAGTTTATTTTTACATACTTGAATTTTATAAAAAAAAATTTATAATTTTTTTTTCAATAGATTTTTTTTCAAATATTTTTTTTAATTATTACCAACGGACAAAGTTCGTCGGTATATCCAAAGAATTGGAAAAAATTTATTACATGTACCACTTCAATTGTTACATTACTGATGTAATTATTCTGTCAGTATTTTATAAAAGGTTGAAATAAAATTACTCTAAATACTATTGTTAATTACTAACTGAATAATTTTATTGGTATATTACAACATATAATTTTTTTGCATGTATTTTTTATGTGAAACCACCAGCTTTTTTATTATTAATATAAATATTAAAAAAATAAAATTACTGATAAAAAATTTATTTATGGATTATTTTTATTCATAAATTAGTCAAATAAATTCATGTTGATAAAATGATAAAGTAAATATTAATAAATTTTTTTTAATAAAACTATTAAATGTAGTAGCTTCTGTACCCTGTCTTATCCACGTTGGATACCCTAACTTTATCCTCGTGCCTCCTAATCTTTTTTCCT